ACTTATGTGTTATATAGAAATACAATTACTATGTCCACGTACCTTTGACGCTGCTTCCCATTCGACGACAAAGCTCTAGGTATGACACAAATTTATTCATGCTTATGCGAATTTAATTTATTTTTAGTAAATTGCACCTCATTAGTTTGATAATTGAAATTATTTATGTATGTCCTCAGAAAAAGGCGGAAACATACGAGAGTATTTGGAAAATTTGTTGAAGGCCTCTAATGTTCCGGACTTCGTTAGAACAACCCTTTTTCATCGGATTAATTTTGTTTGTCGGTACATTATTTGAACATTCTTGTGTATTTAAATTTTGGTGTGATTATTGTATGATATTTTCATTAATTATTCCATTTGCTTCTATGTGTACATATACATTTGAGTGTCTATACTTTTTTAATATATTGTAAAGTATCTATCCTTTTTATAAAAGTGTCTATTTTTTCACTGTGGAAAACATTAATTTAAGGTTATCTTTGAGTGAGTTTTAAGATATTAATTTAGTAATTATAGGCGTCTAATGATTAATTTTTTACGTTACGGTATATATTATTGTTAAATTAAAAATTCTTAATATTATTTTATAAATATCAACACAATCAACTAATTTTTTGTGCAAATGAAATTATTAAATTAATATTGTAGGTGGAAAACATGAAACATACTTAAAAAATATTGAAACATAAATTACATATCTTTAAAAAAAGTCGATCCTTTTTATAAAAGTATGGACACTTTTACAAAAGTGTCGACATTTTACACATCGGAACCCATAATTATAATGTAATAGATAATTTTGTAATATAACCGGTATAAATATACCGGTCTTATGCGCGATAGGTCTACAACCTATATCGACACTTTTTAATATTGTGTCGGTACTTTATATCCATATTGGAAGAAAAATGTGTCGATACGATTTAAAAAGTGTCGACATTTTACACATCGGAACCCATAATTATAATGTAAGATAATTTTGTAATATAACCGGTATAAATATACCGGTTTTATGCGCGAATAGGTCTACAACCTATCGACACTTTTTAATATTGTGTCGGTACTTTATATCCTATTGGAAGAAAAATGTGTCGATACGATTTAAAAAAGTGTCGACATTTTACACATCGGAACCCATAATTATAATGTAATAGATAATTTTGTAATATACCGGTATAAATACCGGTTTATGCGCGAATAGGTCTACAACCTATATCGACACTTTTTAATATTGTGTCGGTACTTTATGTCCATATTGGAAGAAAAATGTGTCGATACGATTTAAAAAAGTGTCGACATTTTACACATCGGAACCCATAATTATAATGTAATAGATAATTTGTAATATAACCGGTATAAATATACCGGTTTTATGAGCGAATAGGTCTACAACCTATATCGACACTTTATAATATTGTGTCGGTACTTTATGTCCATACCATTTAAAAAAGTGTCGGTAATTTGAAGTAACGCGGTTTTTCTTCCTTCATTCAAATATTATATGTACATACAATAGGAGTGATGTTGATACTTACGATATATTATATGGAGATCGTTGTCATTCCATTCCGTCTTCGAAAAAATCAGTTGATGTAGGCTGTGTGCTTGTACTCAAACTAAGCTTGACTTGAGGACATGTTAGTTTGTTATGCCCCTCACCGTTGCAGTACCCACATCGCCTAATTTGCTTCTCGACCTTGTTCTTCGGCACTTCTTTTCGCTTGCGTTGTTTTCGTTGAGGGTCACGAACATTGTTTACTACAATGCTCTGGTTGACTGAATGATTCAAACCAAACGAGTTTTCTAATTCTTCTATTAGTTTTTCATCTCATCTTGCGGTTTTGAAAGACTCGTCTGTCTTTGATGCAATGTAGCATAACCTGCTTGACGTTGAACGTAGAGCAGCGAACCTTGCCATTTGCATCACTTCTGGAGACACATTCAAATCAACATAGCTGGGTGCAGAAGCCTTCGCATCATTAGTCCACTACTTTGAATCAAAGTCCCGGGCAAATATGTGTAGTCCAATTGCTTCAAAATGTGAAGTTGATGGCGACACGGAAGTCCAACGGTCTCGAATTTTTGCAGGAGCAAATTAGAGTTTTCGTACGAGAATCAAAACTAATTTCAAATTTCCTATTTTTTTCTGCGTACTTTGACAAAATATAATGTTGACATTCATCTGATAAGGACTTAATCTCTGCCTCAATCCGGTACAATGTCTCCCGTGTAAGTTCATCTTGGAACACACGAAAAGATTCGCGGGTAAAAATCGCAGCGGCATGGCTTTCAAGGTCGACCAGTTTTGTGATCTGGAAGGGCTTCGTATGGGAACTTAAGTAATCCGCTTTCAACTCGTTCATACGCATTCTACTAATTCCATCTTCAATTGCACGAACACATCTAAATATGTCTTCTTGTGTTTCAGTGCAATAGCTAGTGAAGCATTCATAGACTCGCACCTTTGTGTTGAGCGAATATTGGCAAAGAAATGACCGGTTAGATATGCTTGTGCCCATAAGTGTCGTGTATTTCCCTTCTCAATCACCCATGGATGCTTTTGGACGTTGAATTCTGAAACAATCGAACGCCATTGAATATCAAATTCCTTGGTTGTCCACCAGGAAGCCATGCATTTTGAGAATGCTGCTGTAAACTTTGGGTCACCAATGTTAGCTTGTGCATTGCGAGAAAGATGCCAAGAACATAATCTGTGCTTAGCATAAGGGATAACAGATTTGATAGCCTCTGCATTGCCCTATCCCCATCGGTTACAACAAATAGGTGATTTATTCATCATGGCTTCTAAAAAATTCTGTAGCACCCACTCGAAAGATTGAGACGTTTCGTCAGCGATTATGGCAGTGGCAAACACAATTGTGTTATGGTGATGATTGACACCAACAATAGGCATAATTGGTCGACCATACAAATTATCTTTGTACGTTGTGTCGAACGCAATTACATCACCGAAGCATGTGTAATCCGATCTCGATGTAGAATCCGACCAAATAAGATTATACAATGCCCCCGATTCGTCTACCGAGTATGTCATAAAAAACCCGGGATCATCATGTTCTTATAATCAAAGTAGGCAATAAGCGCATTCACATCCCCATCGACGATTTCCTTTGCTTTACCTCTTTGAAGTGCATTGTAGAGGTCTTTATGTGTAAATCCAACATTATGATAGCCCCCTGCCTGCTGCGTTAAATAGTTCATTACTTGGTGCCAACACCGACCTCTTCAATGTTGTTGCCTCATCGATATCAGCCTTACTTACAGCTCGATTAGAACGCATAAATGGTGTCATAGCAGATGTGCACAATGCATGATTATGTTTCTGATCAGACTTACTTATAACCCACTGATCGTTTGTATTTGTTGCTGTAACTACGACTCTAGCCTTACATCCTGTTCTTGTGACTGGCGTATGAGCACGTTGACGATCAACAGTATTGACTTTTGATACTCGAAACCCTTCTTTGGAACAACAAAATTCTTGTGTCTTCACATTCCCTTCCACGTCAAGCCGTGTTGTTCCCTTACGTGCACTAAACCCATTCCGTGCGAATCCCTTGTAAAAGTGCCAAGCTTGATCACGTGAACAGAAGAGCTGACCAACCAATCTGTCAGATTCATCAACATTATGTACTTCATGGCATTCCTCGGTTGGCTTAACATTGTCTACATCAGTATTATCCATGGCAAAAATTTTGTTGTGCAAGTTCAGTGCTCCAGGAGTTGATGGATATGTAAACGAAGGTTCATTTTGAACATGTTTCTGTAGTTAAAGGGTGGGTACAACATTAAATTCGCAGTACATATTTAGGTATGTACTAACTACAAGTATTATCATTTAAATTCGCAGTACACTGTTAAAAAAATTGAAACATAAATTACATAAGTTTAAAAAAAGTATCGATCCTTTTTATAAAAAGTATGGACACTTTCAATATATAGGTAAACATATGATGTAATAGGTAGCCCTTATATAATGTAATAGGTAATGGTTATATTGTAAGTGTCATCCTTTTTATAAGTGTCCATACTTTTTTCACTGTGGAAAACATTAATTTAAGGTTATCTTTTGAGTGAGTTTTAAGATATTAATTTAGTAATTATAGGCGTCTAATGATTTATTTTTACGTTACGGTATATTATTATTAAATTAAAATTCTAAATAATATTTATAAATATAAAAACATCAAATAATTTTTTGTGCAAATGAAATTATTAAATCAATATTGTAGGTGGAAAACATGAAACATACTTAAAAAATATTGAAACATAAATTACATATCTTTAAAAAAAGTATCGATCCTTTTTATAAAAAGTATGGACACTTTCAATATAATAGGTAAACATATGATGTAATAGGTAGCCCTTATATAATGTAATAGGTAATGGTTATATTGTAAAGTGTCTATCCTTTTTATAAAGTGTCCATACTTTTTTCACTGTGGAAAACATTAATTTAAGGTTATCTTTTGAGTGAGTTTTAAGATATTAATTTAGTAATTATAGGCGTCTAATGATTTATTTTTTACGTTACGGTATATTATTATTAAATTTAAAATTCTAAATAATATTTTATAAAATATCAAAACAATCAAATAATTTTTTGTGCAAATGAAATTATTAATCAATATTGTAGGTGGAAAACATGAAACACTGTTAAAGTATCGATCCTTTTTATAAAAAGTATGGACACTTTCAATATATAATAGTAATAGTAAATTTGCAATGCTATCGGTATAAATATACTGGTTTACTTATAAAATAGGTAAATATAGCGCTACCTATTACATTATATAAGCGCTACCTAGTATGTTATTGTACTTTATAATATTTCCGGTTAAATAATATAACATAACCGGTCTAAATTTTAACCGGTCACTTGTTTAACCGGTCACGCCGTATATTAACCGTTTTTTAGGCGCCGCACCTCAGAACGACCCCTTTTCTTTGCCATTTCCAAATAAAGTCTGTTTCACCCACTTTTCTTTGTCATTTCCAACTAACTTTATTGTCCCTGTCATTGGTTACTTGTTCTTCCAGATAAAACCTCCCAATCTCAAACAGTTCTCCTTCATCTCTCTCGGAGACGATGCTCGGTGCCCAGTTTTGCTCCCGTACTTTCTCCACTTTCTGGGTTTTCTCAGATTCACAAAATGCTTATCACCCAACACCCTCCTTCTCTTTTCCTCCGCTTCGCTCCTCTTCAATCCGTTTACATTTCACGGCGAATCGCAGCCCTTTGCCGAAACGGGTCCTCATTTCTTGCCACTCGATCCATGGTAGCTTCGGGTCCCAATTTAGAAACGAGGACGACCCAGATCATCAGTTTCTTGAAGCTTCTATTCTCGTTTCAGGTCTGACTTAAAAAAGAAACTTTTTTCCTTGAATTGGGTGGAGAAAATTTGGGAATATGTTTAATTTTGGAGTTATGTGATGGAACAGAAACTGTTTCGCACTACCGGATGTTAAGGGAAGGATTTAAAGAAGAAATAAAATGGCAGTCGTCTAGGAGACGGCATCCCATGTCAAGGCCTAAAATTGCTTCAATTGGGCAATCCTTTCTTAGTCGATTTCCCAGTCCAACTATTTTTCTTAAGATTTCTTGTGATGGAGATTTCTTGCTACCCATTAGTGTAGGTAAGATGAAAATCAACAATTCTACCATGTAATTACATTGCTATCGTTCGTTGGATCTGTTGTTTCTTCGTGATTAATCTGCTCTTGTAGGTGAATTCTCTGTTGAAAAACTAATAGCTTCCTTTTTGGGAGATGAGAATGGGGTAATTTGTTAATCTGTTGTTGTTTTAAACATTTGATCTTATTTATAAGTTGAACTTATGTCTTTTGTATCCATATGACTGTGGTCTATCTTTTGCAGGATTGTCCAGATCAGTTCAATCTTGTTAAACATGTTGTGGAGAGGCTTGAATATAAAGTATGGAGTTGGTTTACTTTCTGTGATCTGGATTGATATTCTCGGTTGCACTAACTTTAACCTAGGAAAATTGTGCATGATGCAGTGTAATATCTCTTTACATTGATTTGTACATGTTTTTGTTCCAGGTTAAGATGGTGAGAATTACAGAAAGAGTTGTCAATACTTATTTTGCGAAGTTATATTTTACCAAGGTAATTAAAACTTGAAAGATCGTTTTAGTTCGTTTATTTCCTTAGGATTATAAAGGCACCTGTCTCGATTGTCGGTTATTTTGCTTACAGCCAGGGGAAAATGATGCGATAAGTGTGGATGCACGACCCTCAGATGCCATCAATGTGGCTAATAGATGCAAGGTATGTCCTGGGGAATTGCTCAGTTTCTAGTCTTACTACTACCCAGACTTGTTTTCTCTTGCTGTGTTTGAGATATACCGGTATAAATATCGACTTCAAATTTCAATAGAGACTAACTGGTTTGATTTGAGTAGGTTGGTCTAATGTTTCCAGTTTTGCAATCTCTCTCTCATTTCAATGTCAAATGGCTCCTATTTTCAAGGTTGTGTATTCACTTCAACCGATTGCTTCTCTAAAGCTTCTAATTGGTGGTCTCTGTATGCAGGCTCCTATCTATGTAAGTAAACGGATTCTTTTGGAGGATGCTATTAGAATTGGCTATGGGATGGGCAGAGTGTGTGATAGAAAGTCTACTTACGATGTATTGCTCGACAGGTACGTTGTATATGCCTGCTTTTGGGGTTTTCTCAAAAATTGGTTGTTTTCCTTTAACTCTACACAGGGTTGTATATCCAGTGCTGCAGGTGGCCCGGATTTGCTAACGGAGGAGTTGAATCTGGTGAGGAATATAGATTTAGCTGTCGAAGAAGAAAGGTACAATGATGCAGGTAATAAACATAGAATATAATCTTGTAACTAAGATAAAGATTTCAGAATATACGAAATGAATTACCACTCTCAATACTATTTCTTTCCTTTGTTATCTAACATTGAAGATCTTAGAGTTTCACACTATAAAATGAATTTCTTGCAGCATTGTTAAGAGACAAACTAATGAAGCTACGTCACTCAAGTGATGATCAGTGACATGTTTGTAAGCGATAATTCGTTCAGAGTTTCGTTGGCAGGTTATTATAGTTTAGAGCACAGGAACTTGTTATGCTAAAGTAGCCAGCAGAGAGAGCCATTAACCTGTTAACCTAGAATTTCAGTGTTTAAGATAAGCATGAGTGAAATTCCTGGAATGAATGCGTAAATGTATGTTACTGGATTCAAATGTGATCTTGGACACGGGCATGTGCTCTTCCATTTTAAGTTTTTAATGTGTTTAGAAGATGTGTAGAATATTGAAAGGGAGCAACATAGGCAATGTACAGAAATAACATAGACATGTTGGCAATATTAGGTTAAGTTTGTATTAACTTGGACAGTGATGTGAAAGCTATATATTCAAAGAGTAGAATTAAATATGTAAAGATTTGAGTGACGCAAGACACAGCTTGCTTGCATCTTCTCTACCATGATTGATTATGGAATTCATTGTATACTATTGAACCACAAGCATGATTGTTTATTAAATTCTTTGTATAATACTGAAAAACCTTGATTGACATATTTTGGTTCTTCCTTTTCGCATGCACATGCACATGCACACACATATAATATTATCAATCAACAATCCAATTCAAATAATCGATTTGATATATTGAAAATTTGTTAAAAAGCTCACAAAAATTCTAATAATAAATTATAAGATCAATTAAGATCGCTCGTGAACCATTAAGGATGAAACGATTATAAAATTAAGATAAAAAGGAAATCATTATATACAAAGCAAAATCGAGTCCTCTCACTCGACCTCTCTAGAACAGTCCGAGAATGAATAGAATGTGAAAGTAGCTTTTGAATAAAAAGTTTTTACCCCAGTTAAATCACATTATGAATCATACTATTATATAACATTCGCTTGGGTGAAAAGAGACGAGTGTTATACCCAGAGCGGATGTAACTCGTTATTTTGGATAAATTCTTAATATAGTAAATATTAGGAGAAAGAGAAAAAATTGCGTACTTATTTTATTACAAAGAAGTATTGAAATTTTTAGATCTGCTACGTTTATACCCTTCGTCAAACTCTAATGAATAACTGGTATAGTCTAAGTGATCCACATATTGGATCGTAGAGTTAATATATTAGACTTGCAATAATTTAAGCTCAAATTTTATAATTTTATATCCAAGGAATTTCATGACAACCACATTGTTGGGAAATAAACGAAAAACAAGTAATTTTCCTATAGCCAGATTAGTGAGAATATGAAATAAAAGCGGAAAAAATAATACCCGAAAAATTGATAACGGAGTTAAGCCAATTTGCTTACATCTCCGGACTGCTGCAGATCTTTTACTAAAGAGAAAAAATTACAGGTGTTTACAAAACACATTTAGAGAGAACTGAAAGATTTTGGGATGATTTTGAAGCTAAATGAGCTAGGGTATTTATAGTTGAAACTTAGGGACTAATCTTATAAATACCCTAAAATATGCAGTGACTAAAAATGCAATTATGCCAATTACATTTTAATTAAAAATTGGGGGCACCGAATTGTTGAAAACGCGCGTCCCCCTTTGTTGAAAATATGCATAGGCGGTGCCCCCCTTCTCCTATCTTTGTTGAAAATGTTGCCTGCGCCCCCCCATTTCTACGCCATCATTTTTGACTTTTCTCCAATAATCTCCCACTTGAAGACTGATTTTAATCCGTCTTCACACCTCGATCAATGCAGCAGTATTTCTGGTCTTATTACTCTAGCATGCCAACTGAAGTTGAACACAACTTCAGTTTGTCCGTGGTCACCGTCTTTGTCAACATGTCTGCCGGATTTTGAGCTCCACTGATCTTTTCAAGTTTCAAAATCCCATCTTCCAGAAGAGACCGGATAAAATGATATCGCAATTGTATATGCTTCGTCCTGGAATGAAAAGATGGATTCTTCGCTAGATGGATAGCACTTTGACTGTCGCAATACAAGACATTGTTTTCTTGTTTTCTTGCCTAACTCTTCCAAGAAACTTTGGAGCAAAACCATCTTCTTGCTGGCTTCCGTAACAGCGACATATTGCTTCAGTTGTGGAGAGAGAAAACTATCTTATGTAGTTGAGAAACCCAACTCACTGCAGTTCCTCCTAGAGTATAGACATACCCCTGTATGCTCTTTCTGATGTCAATATTTCCGGCTAAGTTAGCATCTACATAGCCTGTCAGTATAGTATCTCCCACCTTTGAAACAAAGTGCTTTGTTTGTGGTACCCCACAGATATCTGAGGATCCGTTTGACTGCTTCTCAGTGTACCTTGCCTGGATTATTCATGTACTTGCTAACAGCTCCCACTGCATGAGCAATATCTGGTCTAGTACAAACCATGGCATACATGAGACTTCCAATTGTTGAGGCATACGACACCTTCACCATGTGTGCTCGTTCTTCCTCCATCTTTGGTGACTATTCTTTGGAGAGTCTGAAATGAACACCTAAAGGTGTACTTACTGGTTTAGCATCTTGCATGTTGAACCTGGAGAGTACTTTGTTGATGTACTCAGCCTGTGATAACATCAAGTCCCCGACTTTGTCTCTCTTGATCCTCATCCCAAGAATCTGTTTTGCAGCGCCCAGATCCTTCATAGCAAGCTGCTTCGACATTTTTTGCTTCAAGTTTATAATCTCTTGCATGTCTGAGCCTGCAACGAGCATGTCATCAACGTAAAATAATAAAATGATGAAATTGTTGTCGAACCTCTTGATGTAGCAACAATGATCTGCTTGGCATCTGGTAAAACTACTGCTACCCATGAAACTATCGAACTTCTTGTACCACTGTCTTGGAGCTTGTTTTAAACCATACAAGCTCTTCTTCAACCTGCATACCAGGTTTTTCTTGCCTGCCTCTATGAATCCTTCTGGCTACTTCATATAGATTTCTTCCTCCAAATCTCCATGAAGGAAAGCTGTCTTTACATCTAACTGCTCAATGTAAATTCTCTGCAGCTACAATTTTCAATACCAGTCTGATTGTAGACAACTTCACGACTGGAGAGAAAATTTCATTGTAGTCAATACCTTCTTTTGTTGAAAACCTTTGACAACCAATCTTGCTTTATAGTGTTTGCTCCCATCGTGCTCTTCTTTGATCCTGTAAATCCACTTGTTATGGAGCGCTCTCTTGCCTGGTGGTAATTCAGCTAATTCCCACGTCTGATTTGACATAAGCGAGTCAATCTCATCTTTCATTGAAGACTCCCACTTGACTGAATCCTCCACCTGCATTGCTTCATCATAGACTCTGGTTCACCATTGTCAGTCAGCAACAAGTAGTACAAAGAAGGAGAATATCGTTGGGTTGTTTAGGAATTCTGGAGGAGCGTCTTAATTCCGGTGTGCCTGGTTCTTCTTGAACTGCTTCAGGATTGATCTAAACATCATTTCTAGAAATCTCCTCGAACTCAGCAAATTCCTTTGTTCAGCTTTGGTATTTGAGCTACTTGATTCTACAGTTGACCTGTCTTTGTACATCACATTCTCATTGAAAATGACATTTCTGCTTCTGATGATCTTTCGATTTTCATAGTCCCAAAACCGGTAACCGAACTCATCACCGCCATAACCAACAAAGGCACATTTGTTGGACTTGGCATCAAGTTTACTTCTTTCAGCAGAATCTATGTGTACATAAGAAATCAACCAAACACTCTTAAGTGTGAAAGGTTTATTTCTTTCTTACTCCAAACTTCCTCTGGTATTCTGCCATCCAAAGGAACTGAAGACCCACAGTTGATCAGGTAAGCTGCAGTGTTGATAGCTTCAACCCATATAAATTTGGGCAATCCGGCATGTATCCTCATGCTTCTGGAACGTTCATTCAGAGTTTTGTTCATGTGCTCTGCTACGCCATTTTACTGTGGTGTCATGGGAATTGTTGCCTCCATCTTGATCCCATTGTTTGCGCAGAAATCTCTGAATCTCCTATTTTTACTATCCTCCATTGTCAGACCTCATCTGCTTGACTTTCAGACCAGTCTCATTTTCCACCATGGCCTTCCATTTTTCTGAAGGTATCAAACTTCTGATTTCTTCTTCAGAAAATAAACCCATACCTTCCTTGTAGAATCATCGATGAAGGTGACATAATATAGCCTGCAGAGATGGAACTGGAGATGGTCCCCATACATTAGTATGAACCAACTCTAACTTTTCAGCCTTGGGTGTCTTACCAATCTTTGCAAAGCTGACTTTCTTTTGTTTGCCAAAGATGCAATCCTCGCATAGTCCGATATCTACATTCTTTAGATCCGGCAACTTCCTCTTTGTCAAAAATGTCTTCATCCCTTTCTCGCTCATATGGCCAAGCCTTGGTGCCATAGGTTTTTTTTCCATCAGCATATGCTATTGCAATGATATTCTCTAAATTTGAGGTTATATAGAGAGTATCAGTTTTCTTACCACGAGCAATGACGAGTGCTCCTTAGTAATCTTCTATTCACAGCCTGAAAAGGTTGTGCTAAATCCTTCACCATCAAGTTGTCCTACAGAAATCAAATTCTTTTGAGGCTAGGAATATGTCTCACTCCTTTCAGCGTCCAGGTGGTCTGGTTTGGCAACTTTAATCGGATGTCTCCTTTTCCGACGATCTTCAAGGTTTCATCATCGGCTAGATGAACCTTCCCAAAATCACCACTGACATAGTTCTCCATGATTTTCTCGGCATGGGGTGGAGTGGAAGATGCCCTGAATCCAAGATCCAGGATTCAATCGGACTGTTGACGCTTAGAATCATGACATCACCTGTCTCCTCTGTCATGTTTGCAGATTCCTGTGCGCCGGTATCTTTCGTCAGTGCTCGGCAATCCCTTTAAAGTGACCCTTCTTGCCACAATTATAACAGGTAAAATATTTCTTTCTCATTCTTGATTTTCCTCGTCTGGATTTGATCTGCCACGATTTGATTTTTTTTCTGAAGTTCTCCATCTGGACTCCGTGTGCAAGGTTGAGGAGGTTGATGCTTCACCCGATTTCTCTCCGTCGAATTTCTTCGCTTAGTACCAGATCCTGA